TAGACAGTGGTCAACCTAAGCTACAGTATATACTCGAGTATAAGTCTAGTTTTTCAGCAAATTTTTTGTGCTTAAAAACCCCCACTCGACTTATACTCGAGTCACTGTCTGTATTATGGCAACTTAGAGAGCCGCGGCCGTCAGAGCCATGGCAACGATCCGCGCGGCAACCAGACCGCGAGACTTACAGTGGAGCTGACCGGAATGGAGGAGAAAGGAGCTGCAGGAAAGTAAATGCTTCCTGCCGGCCCCCCCCACTTCACAGCCCATGCCACTGGACCACCAGGGATTAAGATAGCCCCCCTCCTTGACCAGTTAACAAGCAGGTGGGGGGGGACAAAAAAAAATTAAAATAATAGAAAAATAATATTAAAATAAAAAAAATTAAAATAATAAAAATGCCCTCCCCCCACCCAGTTCACACACACTACATTATATACACACTCTGCATTATATACACAGAGTGTGTGTATATAATGCAGAGTGTGTGTTTGTATGAGTGTGTGTGTATATAATTATAAAAATCCCAGAATTTCATAGCCCCAAGTTTTACCCTTGACTTATCCACGAGGCATAGCATATTTCACAATTGTTGGTCACAAAACTGCACTCGACTTATACATGAGATCGACTTATATACGAGTATATACCGTAAATTCTTATTATAGGAACACTATAGTCACTATAGCTTAATGTAGTTGTGTTGACGACTATAGTCAGTCCCTGCAGCCTTTTTTCTGTAAACACTGTCTTTTCAGTGTTTACATTGCTCCCTAGGAACACCTCAAGTGGCTACTCTCCAGGCACTGCATTACTATGAGGATATGCTGATTGGCCAAGCAATTGTTTGGCCCTGCCTCCTTGCAAATCTCAGCCAACTCTATGCTTTCCTTATAGGAAAGCATTGGATTGGCTGAGATCATCAATTCTGATGATGTCAGTCAAGGAGGCGGATCGGGGGTGGGCCAACACAACAGACTTGCACGGCGCTGGAAAAAAGGTACATATTCTTACCTGTTAAAGGGGGCAAGCCATCTAAATATTAGTTTTAACACTATAGGGTCAGAAATACATGTGGTCAGGAATACTATAGTGTTCCTTTATGTATACCAGGACCAGCTACTCTGGGTCTAGCTTTGCATTTGAAAAAGTGATTTGGCTGCAGAATGCACTTTGTTTTGTAAGAACGTCTTTTAAATATCCAACTAAAACTACTATTTATTAATTCAGGAGCTTAAGACAGCACAGATTGTTATGTATGCGGTATACTGTTAACTGATACTGGTTAATAATGTTTTTTTTCACAAACTTCTTCAACCCTTGATCGCAGAGTCCCATGGTTATGGGGAAATAATTTATCTGCATCATGAAAAATAACAAATAACTGTTCTCCACCCTTGCTAGGGAATGAAGACTACTTGTGACAATTTTAAAATGATTATTTTTCATTATTACTTTGCATTTTTGTTAATTTGAATTGCACTATTTTTTATGTCAGCTTAACCTAGTTAAAACATTTTCTATTTCTGCCCCTTTTCTATGGCATTTCATACAAAGACGGCAGCCAGAGCCTCACCCTTAAATAACTTATGACTCACCTGTTACTTGCACTCCTGTGTGACAGAATTTCCTGTATTCCGTTAGGAATGTTTTAGGGGGTCGATGTTATTAGAGGCTAGCTCTATTTTCCTTCACAGTTGTCAGGTTTCCTACTATGTTCCTTAACAACTTATTTATTTTTTCCAACTGAACGTTGGTCTGGAAAGGTTTCCCAGTTCCTCAGTTATGCCGAGAAGAGTGGCGCGAACCATTACAAACCAGCAACATGACCCAAAAGGCTCAGAAATAATGAGTTATAACGATGGCAGTTTGCCCAAGGTCAATGCCACGGTAAAGCTTTAAGAGACTGTTCTGTAGACTCTGTGGAGTTCGGCAATAAAACAGTATAACATTATTATTTTTTCTGTAATAGTTCAGGATATTATCACATTATTAAGAGCATAAACCACTGAGCATTAATTATAGAAAAAAAATTTTTTTGAGTTCCTTGCTTTACCTGTACTCCCATATATCAGGCAGATAATGTATTTAGAATTAAAATAATTATGATAACAAATATTAAAATGGTTGACCTCACTGCACAATGAGCATATCAGTCTACATTCATAGTACATCACATAACGATCTCAACATCTGCAAACCCTAAATAAAACAATTATAGGGGCTTAAAGAGTTTCCAAAGCCATATATTTTTTTTTCTGTTTGGTTCATGAGAGTAAATTCCCTGTGGCTTTATTTTGTAAATGTAACGTGGGGAGTCTCATTATAAACAGTGCTCAGCAGGCAGAAATTAGCTACAATTTACACAAGACATGGGTGTGTTTATGTTCCCAGCCGTTGGATTTATGACTGGTTTTCTCCCAACACATAGTCAAAAAAAATAAAAAAATTAATCTATAAGATTTTTTTGGGAGGGGGAGGGGGGAAAATACTGGTCAAACTTTCTTACGATTCACTGGAACTGATTTTCAGTCCTCCCACAGAACTCTGAATTAATAGGTAACATTAAAATTTTCCATGAAACATGCTGGAAAATATATTTGGTTAAGGCCTCCATGAAGCACATAGTATACACATATTACAAACAGGGCGGCAGCAATGGCCATTGGAGTAGCTAAATAATCACCATTTGTTTAAATATACAAAGGGATTTGGGAGGGAGCGCAAGTAACTTTTTTCCTTTGGTTTTTACTTTCTGTATTGGGGCTGATCTGTACTATGGTTGTTTCTGCTGCACAGGAGTGATGGGAGTTTGAGCGCAGGACTTGTTTTTTTTGTATTTGTATTCACTTTTTGTATCACACAGCTTTGTTACAATGCTGCCGCCCATCCCTATTCCCTATTAAGGGTTAATAAGTAGGTAGGGGTGTATATATAAAAAAAATACCCCTCTCTGTCTAATTAGAGATATCTTTGCCAGAAGCTCAAGGAAGCAGGGTGAAAGGTTAGTTTAAGATCCACTTGAGAGGTTTGCCTTGACGTGGCAGATGGGCATTCCATCCAATGGCCATTGGAGTAGCTAAATAACCTCCATTTGTTTAAATATACATAGGGATTTGGGAGGGAGTGCAGGTAACTTTTTTCTTTGATTTATTAAAACTAGCTTGAGCTAATTATTTTAGACAGGCCTAGTTAAGTCTCTGAACACATGGAACCCTGCGGAATTAATCATAATGAGTCATTGGACATCTCCCAGATGAAGATAAACTCAGTGCAAACCAGCTGATATCTTGTCTTGAGACAACTTTTACATTAGAGATTGAGACCTAGAAGAGCAGATATACACGCAGAAACAAATATGTGGTTCTCTTATAAACAAGCCAATCACGCAAGCCATTAGTCACTCTTTGTGAGTTTATATTTCTTTAAAGAAACAATATGCATAGTTAATCCATGTTCTCTAGTACAATGTTAATCAGCCAGCTGGTCTTAACCAGAGTTGGATGTAAACAGAGGACAACAGAATCCGTAAATATTAGACATGTCTACTAAAAATACAACCATCTACTTTGTGCATGTATACCACACACATACATATTCTTTTCCTTTCTCCTCTGGCCCAAATTCTTCCCTTGTTTCATAATAGATTCATCTTCTCATTGAATTGCTCTTCCTCTATTACTCCTTCCATGATCTCAATTTTATATTGTTTATGTAATTGCTCACACTCAACTTTTTTATTTATTTATTTTTTTACAGTATTTAAAGGTAGTCTGTGGCAGTGTTTACATCTCCGAGATTGCAGGCACAGGCTCTTTGCCCCAGAACAACTACATTAATATTAATAGTACTGGTTCTCAGAGTGTCCCCTTTAAGGGTTAAACACACATTTGAGGGAGCCCAAAAATGTGATAGCTTAAGCTGAGGCATTGTTATATAGCCTAGTAGTTGTGGTTAATAACTGCACTAGTTACTTTTGGAGAATCTTGGTGTTTGCATGGCTGTAGCAGAGATGCTTTCATTGTTTGAGGCATGGGTCATCAACCTGGTCTCTATCGCCCACTAGTGGGTGTTTCAGGATTCCAGGTGGGCGGTAGGGATTTCCTAGTTTTGAGAGACTGGACGGGCGGGTGCGAGCCGGCCGTACCCCTGCGACCGGGTACCGCCGTCACCATTTGTGGCCCCGGCCCGCGCTGCAAACCGCCGGGGCCACCGTCCAAGGGGTCCATCGGGTGGCCCATGCTGTCAGGGCCACCCGATGGATGTGGATTGTAAGGGGTCCCGGTCAGCGCTGGGCACTTTAACAGTGCGACCGGGCCCCCTGTGATTACATCACAGAGCTGGGAGGAAGTGACTGCACGTCACTCCTCCCAGCTAACACACAGACTGCGTGGGAGGAAGCAGAGGGAGTCAGAGTGGGAACTCTGACTCCCATCCACCTGAGCCTCCACTGGACCCCAGGGAATGTCACCCTCCTGCACCTAAAAGGTAGGAAACAGGAGGGTGACTAACATA